TATATTAAATATATATACTTATATATAGCTAATCTTAAAAATTTAACGACCTATTTAATAATTAAAATTAAAACCAGTTATTGCAACTTTCTCTAAGGAACTTTTATTACAGCATGTAGCTTCGAAGCATGTAATGGCAACACAATGTACAGATGAAATAGGAGAATATAATCCTTGCTTAAAGTTAAGATCTCGCAATCATATAAAGAGAAAATGTGGATCATCCAATATTGATTTAGATAAAAGTTCTGTTAGAAAGGAAATTATTCGAAAGAAAATGCATGGTATACTTATTATTAGCTACAATAAAATTGTTTTGCACATTTTTTATTTATTTTATAAATAAGAATAAGAATTATTAATAATTAAATAATTAATATTATTAAAAAAAATAATTAATATTATTAATAAATAATTAATATTATTAATAAATAATTAATTATTAATAAATAATTAGTATTTATCTTAATATATAAAAATCTTTATTGTTGTAAATCGTACATTTCTTAATAGGAAATAATAATACGGAAAAGCGATGGGTAGAGTTTAATAAAGCTTTCGCGAAAAAATTTCTCGAATTCTCATCGAAATGCAGTAGCGTGTTGCTTCGTAATTATTTGATAATGAAAAGAGAGAAAGTATCTAGTAATGCGTCGAAGGCTCGTTTAAGTAAAACCGAAAATTTCTCGCTCTCTGATAAATTGTACAAGGATCGTGCAACGGATAAATCTCGTAAATGTTTTTACGCAAGTAAATGCAATCCTCTAGTGTTCACCAATAATTGGCAGGAAATATCCAAACAAAAAAATTGTAGATCCAAAAGTGCGTTTACCACTAACACTTCCGAGTTGCGACGAACAGTCAACAGTCAATCGCATTTGACGCACAATCGGAGAAAGCCGGATTCGAAGACAGATCAGATAAATTATGATTATATTTTATATTAAATTAAATTATTATTTTTCATTATATTTTTGTCAGTTTTTAATATTTATTTTATTAGTGATTGACTTTTATAAGTCACAATATTATATTTTTAACAAAATATAACACAAAATATATAAAATGTAAATAATATATTTTTGTGAAACAATACTTTTAGTACGTTTTATTGTTAAAATAAATGTAATATTTATTAAACAGTAATTTCTAATTTTAAATTATAAAAATATATACTTTTGAAATGTTTAATTTACTCTATAATTTTGGATAGGGTTATATTATAAGTTAAAGTTTAAGCTATCCCTCTATTTGAGAATCACTATTCTTTAAATATCGACCTATCACAAAAAGACTGATCAATTAATTTAATATTCAACATATAAAACAAATATAAAAAAATGTAAGAATAAAAAAGGATAAAAAAGGAGAAAATTTAAATATTATAATATAATGCAGTGTAATTATATTATTTTAACTATTTTATTTCGATGTGTTTAAAATACGATTGATGTGCGCATCAATCTAGCATGCGCAAGCGCAGTAATTCCAATCGATATACAGGATTGTGTTCCAAAATTCAACTCTGTCAACTCGAGTATTATTTTATCCTTGTTAATTGTTAAATGTTGAATAAAGATAAAGAATACTCGGAGTTGACAAAGTTTTGGAACGCACCCGAGGATGTTCCTTAAATCGCCAAATTTAAAATATGAATTCAGGACCTCAAAATAAACAAAAATTTTCCTCTGGGCGTATGTTCGCAAACGCTTCGTTCAAGAGATATTTATTTCTGAATTTATTTATACACAGAATTGTAGGAATGAATAATTAATTGAAACTTTTGTTTTTGTTTCGAAGCTCGAAGGTCATTGATAGAGAGACAGGGGTTTTTGCTTGCAAAGCTCGTAGTTGTAACTCATAGTTCGTAGTTTAATAATAAATTTCTGAGGACCGCTGATATTTGATTTTTTTCTATTTTTACAAAAACACTGGCACAATAATGCATAGATTCTTGATAACTCGTTTGAAAATAAGGAGATTTTGCAATAATGTGAATCCAAATACGATACATGTTAAAATCGCATTATCCTTTTCTTTAGTCATTAAGAAGAAGATAATATAAGCGTTAATATTAGCGTTCTATATCTGGATAAAGCATTTGCAAAAACTTTCTAATATGTAGGAACAAAGCTCTAAAATTTTTAGATTTGTCTTTTGTTTTTTTTTAAGAAAATGTGTCATCGTATTCATAATGGAAAAAACTTAGATATGCTCTTGCGCGTACATTTCTAACAGCTAATGGCTGCGTTCAGCAGAAAAAAACTCACTTAGCATTTAGATTCTTTAATATTGGCTGCGTTCAGCGGACTCAACAGTGAGCGGTCGTTGCTACTGATGTATTTTTCTAGATATAAAATGTTGATTGGATGATCTAAAAGAATACATCAACAAGAGTAAGCATTCATTTAACTGTTAAATTCGTTGAATGCGCCCATTGATCATTGCCTTTAGTTCTTTTTTAAATCTAAGTATAAGTAAGAAACCAATCATATTAAAGAATCACTAACTGTAAGCGCTAATTGTAAGCGCTAATCATTGTAAGCGTTAACTGGGAACCTATCATGGGACATGTCGGAATAATTCCCATCGGGAATTCAATAAGAATCAATCGTTTAGTGAGCAAGTTACATTCCAAAACGCATCGAAAAAAAGTGTTGCAACCTTTCTGTGACTGGCTGTACACATATACACACATATACGCATTTGCAGAAGTGAACTGAAATGGCAGAGCCAATCAGAAAAGAGAACATTATTCGTTCCACTTTCTCTTGATTCTCTCGACGAATCGTTGTTAGTGTTAACTTAGCGTTTTTTACAATAGATCTAGCATTTTTTACAATAGATCTATATTTTCATGTCAGTTGGGATGCTATTCATTTGTGCATTTTTGTCATACAACAAATTTTTCAAGCCTGTTGATTAGTTGTAGGATAGAGAGATCCTCTCTGTCCTGCACACATTTGTCGTACGACAAAAAACACAAATGAAATAGCATCCTAAGACCAACATTACATGCGTTCGTTTTTTTGTCGAACGAATTTTTATGACGAATTTTTCAAGTGTGTCAATTGACTTATGGATAGTCAGGGGTGGGTAAGTTAATGTTTTTTTTTAACTAAATTAAGTTAAAGTTAATGGCTTATAAAATTAATAAAATTAAGTTAAAAGTTGAAGGAAAGAATTAACTTAATAAAAGTTAAGTTAAGATTGAATTAACTTAAGTTTAAAAAAAAGTTAATTTTGAAAAAATTATTTTTGAGATCAGAATATTCTAAAATGAGATTACTTTAAATAATACTTACAAATATAGATTATTAGGTTTATATTCACATGTAAATTACTTATATATAATAAGAGTTATACCATAAGGCGTTTTTATTAAAATCTTGCGAGAGAGAAGGGTATATGTTTACATTTTTTCTTTTTCTTTAACCATTATCTAATTTTCTTTAATTTCTAAAATGAATGCTCATAACTACATCGACTAGATATTTGTTACAAAAAATATACATAAAAATATAGAAAATAAGTGGATGTGCAATACTGTTCTATAAGGCTTTTCATCTAAGATTCATTTCAAATTTATATTGATGAAATATAACGTTTATGATATCTAAAATTAGTGTGATTCAAATATAAGCGAGAATTAATAAAACCTATTGAATAAAAACTGACTACTATATGTAACTCTTATTATAGATCTCTCATCATGAAATCATTGATTTTTTTCTAAATTAATTTTTCTCTAATGTTTAAGACTTTATAGAAAAAAAATATTAGCATTAAGAGAGATAGAAAAATTTTTAATTTGAAAAAGTTGATAAATTAAAGTTTAAAAGTAAACTAAATTAAATTAAAAATTAATGCATTTAAAATTAACTAAGTTGAGTTAAAAGTTATTAACTTTTTAATTTTTTTTTTAACTTTTAATGTTTTAACTAGTTACTACCCAATCTTGCGGATAGCGCATTTTCTGAATTATTTTGAAAACAGAAACGGCGAATTTTTTTTTTACTAAATTAATTTACGATGGTCATAAAGACATGAAAAATGACATAATTGATCTTAATGAAAAAAAACGTTGACAATATTATTGAAACAAAGGAGGTGCATCCACATAAATATTTTGAATTACATCATTTTTTATATTTTGAATAGTTGTGCACATCATTTTATTGTAAACACAAAAAATATGAAAATAAAATATAAAAACGTATTTGCGTTTATTATACAAAAATATATTTTACATAAATTTTGTATATGAATATGTATTTTAGTCTCGTTTATTCAATTGATTGGTTAGTTTCTTTAGCTTAAAATAGGCTCGTTACACTTATTTATAAACTAGAACTTAAGTATTTATCCTATATATAGTACAGGACATATATATTTTTTATAAATAAAAATCTTCTAAATTGAGAAAACTAATTTGATACATATTCTAAATTCATATAACGATTTATTACTTTTAATTTATTTTTTATAATGTTTTTTTGTAAAATTTAACTTATTTTTAGTTTTTTGTAACATTTATTACTTTATTTCCAAAATTTTTAAACTTTATTTAATGATTTACTTTTTTAGATTATTTTTTAGTAGTTTTGTAAAATTTATTTCTGAAGTTTTTGGTAAAGCATCTAACGGAATTTTGAAATTCAAAGTTGGCAACCCTAATCGTTGTATTCTTGTTGTTCGCCAATAACTGTGTTCAGCAGACTCAATAGTTGAGTGAGCGCTGTTATTGATGTATTCTTTTAGATCATCCAATCAGTATTTTAGTTTTGGAAGAATACATCAATAATAGCGAGCGCTTACTTAACTGTTGAGTCCATTGAACATAGCTAATGGGCATTCAGAAGCGATAATCGCTCATTGAGCAAAAAAGGGATTAATCTATTATTAATATGTTTATTTATTATAATTCGTAACGTAGAATAACTTTATCTACTATAGATAATCTTTAATATCATTTTCCTTATTTATTTATTACTGTTTATTATTTCTCTAATATTGTGTTTAGGCCGTAATGCGTCTACAATGGCAATAGTAGATGAGGTAAAGCCCATTTTAGAATGGGCAGTAGCAGTAGTGGATTAACGAATAGGAAATTGATTAATCATAGTTGATTATCCTTCTCACATTCGACTGTGATTAATTGATTTCTGCCTGCTCCTTAATCCACTACTGCTATTGAGTAATTCTTAAGCCCTATAATGGACAGTAGCAGACTTAAAATTATTTCACTACTCACTGAGCGTTACAACCTTACGGACTAAACACGGTATTAGAGAAATAATAAACAGTAATAAATAAGTAAGAAAGATGATATTAAAAATTATCTACAGTAGACAAAGTTATTCTACGTTACGAATTATAATAAATAAACATATTAATAATAAATAAATCCCCTTTTTGCTCAGTGAGCACTCAAGTGAGTGGTCGTCGCTTTTGGATGCACCCAATATTAAAATGGATGAGGTGATCGTCGTGTCGCACAGTATTGGCTCTTGCATACTGGACGCGGAAACGCTTGCCGCGCGACAAAATGAAACGCGGTAACCAATGAACACATTAGGAGCTGTAAGCTCATTGGCTATCGCATTATATTTTGCCGCACGGCAAGCGTTTCCGCGTCCAGTGTGCAGAAGCCATATCGCTTGTTGGAAAGCTTCCTTTATTACACTATAGTTCAGAACTAGCTTAGAATTCTTCGAAAAAAAACAGACTTTATTTTATAATTATCAATTTTGAATATCAATAGAAACAATATTTTCGAAATTTTACATTTATATAGATGTATAATTAGATTTATATCTAAATTATATAATAAAATATATTTCAAAAATAATGTATTATAAAAATATAGTATTAATAAGTTGAACAAAACGAGATTATAAAGGTTACGTGATAACTTACATTGTGCAATATATAATCTAATCAAATTTTCAAACATCAAATTCGTTAATTTTTGATCGTTATGATTGGAAATCACGATATTGAAATGATTTCGATTTGTAACAATGGGCAGAATAGAATTTGGAAAAACCTCAAAATAAATGATAAAGATTATGTGATCTGTTTTATAAAGGAAAATGAATCAAGAAAAATTTTTTTAACAGACCTAATAGAAATTTGGGTGGAGACTCTGACAGACGAAACTATGTTTCATAAATGTCAGGTACTACGAATTGTCTCAATTCTGTCTCATATATGTATATTACATATATAAATTAAATTTTTTATTTATCTACAAATGTGAATCATGAAAAAAATGTAGATTGAAATTTATTTTACAAGTAATAAGAATATTTTTCCATTTTCTGAATAAGAAAATCATATTATATTATCAATACTCATATATATAGTACTCATATATGATGAAACGTGTTAATTTGTAGACCATGAATCCTCTTTTAAATCTTGAGGTTTTTGACTGGAAGCAAATGATACTGGATATGTTAAATGATATCCCTCAATACGTACATGCAAACGTTTTAGAAGTTACAACATATCGAATAGAATTGCGAAAAGACAAAGATTTTGTAAAATTGAAATTTTCATTGGATCTTCTTAAAGGAACGCCACAGCAATTTTGGGAAAGTGTGATTGTACCTCTCTGCTCATCATCAATGGAACTGATTCGCAGATACAAAATTCTGCTAAATCTGATTAAACAGAAGGATGAAGAGATAGCGGAATACAAAGCTGAAGGCGCAGAATTAATTAGAAGTACACGTTTCTTGCAGTGTGCTATATAGTATCACATTTTAAAGTTAAAAGTTAAATATTATTTGTATCCTGTATATAGAATATATCGCTACGAAGCCATTTAATGAAGAATTGTTTCACACTGATGCTGCTGGATCAACTGATTTTGTAAACATTTTCCAATCTGTGATTCGTTTTTATAATGAAATAACCTTGTTAAAGTCATACACAAAATTAGAAGTATCTTCAAACAACGCAAGGTACAATAAGACATGTCACAAAGAATATAGCAAATATTTATTGTATTTCCTATTCATTTTAGTACTAATGACCCCAAGATTGATGGAAATGTTCCTCTTGATTCATCAAAGAATGATTCTATACAGAAGTTAAGGCAAGATGAATTGAATAAACAAGGACCTTCAAAAGAAGAGTACAAAACAAATCTTTCTAGCAAAGCTTCACTTTTGGAAATAAGTAGTACATCTCATACGATACGTAAGAAAAGAAATAAAAAAACTTTGAATGATTTCATAATGTAATTATGAAATTACTAAGTCACTAATAATAAGTAACCTTTTACTGCAATGTAAAAGTAAGTAACTTTGTGTTTTATGTTATTTATGATATTGTGTGATATGTGTTACATATGAAATACACTAAAAAATATTAAATTATATATATATAACATATGTAT